AGGTTCGGACTCGACCTTGGCAACGTAATTTTTATTTAAAGGTTCGAACTCGACCTTGGCATCATAATTTTTATTTGAAGGTTCGAACTCGACCTTGGCATCGTAATTTTTATTTGAAGGTTCGAATTCTACCTTTTCCTTAAGGTTCAAACTCGACCTTGGCAACGTAATTTTTATTTGAAGGTTCGAACTCGACCTAATCATTAAGGTTCGAAATCGACCTTGGCATCAAGGTTTGAACTCAACCTTGGCATCAAGGTTCGAACTCGACCCTAGCATCAAGGTTCGGACTTGACCTTGGCATCAAGGTTCGAACTCGACCTTGGCATCAACTTGGCATCAAGGTTCGAACTCGACCTTGGTAAGAAAATGTAATCTCAAGGTTCTTACTCGACCTTGACACATCAAGGTTCGAACTCGACCTTAGCATCAAGGTTCAAACTCGACCTTGGCATCAAGGTTCGAACTCGACCTTGGCAAGAAAATGTAATCTCAAGGTTCGGACTCGACCTTGGCACATCAAGGTTTGAACTCGACCTTGGCTAAGAAAATGTAATCTCAAGGTTCGGACTCAACCTTGGAATATCAAAGTTCAAATTCGACCTTGGCATCAAGGTTCGGACTCAACATTGGCATCAAGGTTCGGACTCGACCTTGGTAAGTTGTCGTGATTTTAAATGTCAGTGTGCCAATACTAAAAGTATGTGGGAATAAAGTTGCTTTGTTGATATTTCTTGGGTGTGCCTCGTTAAAACCTTCCTCGGCCAAAAACAATTTTCTTTCTTTTAGTGAGAAAAAAGACTGAGGAGGAAAAAGAGTACATCACCTGAATTTACAATTTAAGAGAAATAAAATTTGAGGTGGGTGTCATTCGATGTTCTTGGGAGAGCTTTGCTGTCAAGTTCTTCTAGTCGATATGCACCGTTGTCGAGGTCCTTAGTCACTCTGAATGGTCCTTCCCAGTTGGTTGCAATTTTTCCTTCGGAGGGGTCTGTTCTTGCTTCTCCCCATAATTGCCAAACAAGGTCCCCAACTCTAAATGTTTGTAGTCTGATCTTGGTCTTGCTTTCCTTGTGTTTTTCTATGGATTGCCTCATGGAACTCGGCATGCTCCTCCATCTGGATATACCCAGCGGCACGAGCTCAGAGCTCGTCCATGTCGGGAGGAGGTCGTTGGCAAAGGCTATCGACGAAAGGTCCTGGTTTCAATGTCATGAGCATAGAGTGCAAGGCGACTTTAGGATTGAGTTTACGTATCTGGATAGACACATTGGCGAATCGTTCCATGAATTTTCTTAATGACTCGTTCTTGCCTTGTCTGAGGTTGGCTAGGGCGGCATACGTGATGTGATGAGGTCAACTTGTCGCGTATTGTGTTGTGAATTGCCTCATCAAGGTCTCAAAATTGTCAATTAATCCTATCATCAGTTGAGTGTACCAGGTGAGCGTAGGGCCTTTTAACGAGGTTGGGAAAACCTGACATATTAGGGCGTCGTCATTGGTGTACAGGTTTATCTGTGTAATGTACGCGTCAATGTGCTCATCTGGATCGGACGAGCCATCGTAACGGTCGATGTTCAGAGGCTTCCATCCCAAGGGGAGAGGTGTCCCCATGATGCCATCGACAAAAGGATGGTGTTTGACACCCAGCCGATGTGGAAAAGATTGGGTGGTTGCGTGGCTGACTTCATGACTAGAGCAATGCGTTGGTGCATGTGACTGATGTGACATCGGTGGCGGCGAACGTGATTGGCGTTCCTCTTCATGGTGATTGTTTGCTGAGGAGGTTGGCTAGGGGGTTGTTGGTGAAACTAGGCATGGATGTGCTCATTTTCAAGGCGCAGAGCTTCTAGGTTAGCTTGGTGTTGGGCACGCATAGCTTCAAGGGCTTCGGTATTTTGTCGCCGCATCTGTTCGATCTGCTCGACCAAGCGTCGAATTGTCGCGTCTCCTTCCATCCTTGGCACGTTCTCAGTTGTGTCATTTGCTACTCTTCTATTATGGCTTCGGGTAGAAACCATAAGATTGACCGAGAAAGGGAATTCTTTTCGGCTCCACGGTGGGCACCAAATGTTCTCACCTGAGATTGGATCGGTGATAATCTCTCTGATGAGATTGGTGAGCCTACACTAGTCTGCAGGTTGTCTGCTCCAAGATGGTGGTGGTACCTGCAAAAGAGACTTTGATGCTAAAGTTAGTACTTGATAGTGCAGATGTCTCGTATATATAGCAGACGTACCTTGGTAATTTTAGGGTTTTTACTGTCTACCGACACATTGGCATTTTTAGGGTTTTACCTTGTGATTGCGGCGAAGTGACAAGATTGTATTTTTATCTGTTTGATGACGTGGCCGCTTTGGGCCGATGTGGTGTTCCGATGTCCATGTTTCGTGGCTGAGCTGAGGAGCTCGACAATAATGAGTTTACTGCTTGGTCAGGTTGGTAAACCTTTGACCGAGTTGGCAGCTTGGTGAGGACAACTTGGCAACTCAGCCGGGCCAGTACACTTGCTCCCCAAGCACCGAGTGATGTAAGAGCGAAAAGGCTTTTGAGTAGCTCCCAAGTTTACTATTTAGTCAGATTAGTAGGCCTTTGGCTGATTCGGCAGCTTAGTGAGGGAAAGTTGGCAACTCAGCCGGGCCAGTACAACAATACACATGATTCCCAAATGGAGAATTGTGAAATTCATCTAATAAGAGAAAATGGATGAAAGAATTCTCCTTATTATTCCAAATTCATCCTGAAAGAGTAGCAAGTCATTAAAAAGTTTATAATTAGGGTAATCATGAGAGGGTGTTGTTGAATTACTAATACAAGTTCAATAAAGGTGATGAATTATGCAATATTTCTTGTTTGAGATTATTTAGAAACTAAAAGTGAAGAATGGAAAAGATCCAATAAGCCTCAGTTGGTTATGGGTATAGGATAAGGTGTCGATAGTGACATTACTAACACCATGCTTGTATTGAATGGTGTAGTTGCAGCCCAACAACTTAATTAAATAAACACGTTGCTCTAGAGTTTGAATGACTATTAAAACATTAAGAGCATGTTTGAATACAAGTTTTTAAGCGTTTTAAAGAGATTTTTATTGAAAAATGCTCTTTATTTCTAATATATAAACTCTTTGAAACCCTTCTAGACTATATCCAAACAAGTTCTAAATCCTTCAAACTACAATGATCAACAAGAATTGTGAAAGAATGGCCAAACAAATATTGGCCCCACTGACCACTTACTAATAAAACATGATGGGATAATAAACTAGTGTAAAATCAAAAGAAAGCCTAGAGTATCATTTGGAATCCCTTAATGCGTTATAATAGTTTTTATGATAACAAACACTTTTTTAAAGAATATCTCGAAAAAGACACTAAAAAGAATATGGTTCTACTCTAACACCATTCTATCACACTCAAAACAAAAGAAAGAGATGATAAGTAGATGCCTAGATCAGATAGGAGATACATGCATCTCTGATCAGCATTTAATGCTTGCATTGTAGTACCCTCTAAAGAACAACTAGGAAGATAAATGAAGCAACTCAAGGAAATTTGGACGTTTAAATTTTGAATGTTATTACAACGATCATTTTTTCTAAAGCTGTTATATAAGGATCAAGCTCTCAAACAAAAAGGGGGATGGAGAGACAAGTAAGAATGCTCAATGTGAATAAGGATGAGCAAACACATGAAATAAACAGCTGAAGCTCTATGAAGAAGACCTTTATAGCAAGTCTTATAGAATTCTTTGTAGACTACTTGTGCCAAATTTTTATAGCATCACGTCTAGAAGAGACGGAGCTATTTTGGTAACTCTTATCAATTGTATTTGTAAGGGCTAAGTCTAGAGATGTTTTTTTAAAAGAATACTTAGTGGTTAAGCCTAAAGAGGCTTGTTTAAAGAATACTTAGGTTTAAGCTTGGAGAGACTTGTTGAAAAAATACTTGATTTTAGCCAAAAGTGACTTGTTAAAGAATACCTGTATCTTGTTGAAGATAGTGAAACTCAATCTAGTTGGATTGAGAAATGAATGTAATCTTTGGATTAGAGACAAATTAGTATAAAAACACTTGTGTCATTTTATCTCTTTTATCACTTCGTCTAATTACATTTTAATATTTCATTTGTTTATGTTTTTCATTGCCTTACTATAAAAATGCGAGTTTTTGATATACATTATTCAACCTCATTCTAGAGTGTACGTATCTTTCTCTCCAACAACTAGCTTCCTATTTTTATCCAATAAAAATACAATGATAACATCAGAGTTTGAACCTAAGATCCTATATATACAATCTATCCCAACTCTTACCAAGGTGATCTTAATTATTTAATCTAGTTACCTTCTTATTCCTTACACAATATTATATAACACACTAAAGTAACACTAATTAAGAAAATAACAACATAATGAAAATGACTAACATAATTGAAATAATAAACTCAATCATTAGTTAGCAACACAACTAAGGATCTAACGGAAATATCAATGAATGAATTCATCACAACCTATTACGTTTATCTTAGGCCTGGATGTTATCAACTATTAGGCTAATAGTGTTTTATCAACATTAGACAATAACACATACAACATAGATCTTACAATTATTGTAAGATAACTTTGTCAAAAACAAGTCATAATCTAACAAAAAATCTAAATATCAATGGATAAAATCATCACAACCTGCTACGTTTCTCTTAGGCCTGGATGTTATCAACTATTGGGCTAATAGTGTTTTATCATCATTAGACAATAACACATACAACATAGATCTTACAATTATTGTAAGATAACTTTGTCAAAAACAAATCGTGATCTAACAGAGAAAGTCTAAATATCAATGGATGAAATCATCACAATCTGCTACGTTTCTCTTGGGCCTGGATGTTATCAACTATTGGGCTAATAGTGTTTTAGCAGCAATATTAGACAATAATTACTAGGCAGATGATAAACACACCTCCACTCTCATATAAACACACCCCCTTTCTAAAAAAAAATATATAAAATATCTAAATTACCCTTAAAAAAAATAAAAATTCCTAAATTTACATACCTTCCCCACCTCCTTCCCGCACCCCACACCCCCCGTTCTCCCGCACCCCAGGCCACCGTAGAGAAACTGGAGCATGAGGAGGAAGACCTCGGAGCCGACGGAGTTGACGGGTATGACTCCGGAGCGCGAGTTGATCCTTGGGCCGGTGGGGTCCAGGCCAGAGGGTGGGTCCGACCCACAGAAGAATTTCCTGAAGAAGAGGCTCCGCGCGGCCAGTATGCAGCGGTGCGCGTGAACCAGACGTCCCTCCACGCTGAAAGTGACGTCGCTGAAGGCCTGGCCGTTGATGAGGAGGTTCAGGTAATCCAGCGGCAGAGATCTTAGCGACTCTTCAAGGGACATGGTGATGCTACTGCTACTGCTATGCTTCTACTGTTACTGTTTCTTACCTGTTCCTGATAAATTTACTGTGCTGTCGTCTCAACGCTCTAGGGTTCTATCTTCTAACTTATTGCTTGGGGGTGTTTAAGGGAAAAGTGAGAGAGATGGAATAGTGAGAAGAACAAGAACAAGAACACCAAGGAAGAGGTTGGTTCATGTTCATCCCTTTATTGATGATGATGCTACTGTGCTTGTTTTTATGGGATTCGCTCGCTCGCTCGATGCTCTATGGTTTGGGATTGCAAATGTATTTTTCATAGATATTTTTGGTGTGAGAGATAGAGAGAGAGAGGCCTGGGAAGAGAGAGAAACAAAGATTGCAATTTGGGTGGCTATTCTGGGCGGCTCGGGCTGTGGGGGTGCGGGGAAGGGGGTGCCTCATGCTCCAGTTTCTCTACGGTGGCCTGGGGTGCGGGAGAACGGGGGGTGTGGGGTGCGGGAACGGAGCGCAGGGAAGGGAGGTGTAAATTTAAGAATTTTATTTTTTTTAAGGGTAATTTAGACATTTTATATATATTTTTTTAAAAAGGAGGTGTGTTTATACGAGGGTGGAGGTGTGTTTATCATCTGCCTAATTACTATTATTGTAAGATAACTTTTTCAAAAACAAATCGTTATCTAACATAAAATCTAAATATCAATGGATGAAATCATCACAACTTGCTACGTTTCTCTTGGGCCTGGATGTTATCAACTATTGGGCTAATAGTGTTTAATAATAACACATATAACATAAATATTACAATTATCATTACTAGAAAAATGTTATTTTCTTACGAATTTTTCTGAAAAAAATATTCGTAAAAACTTTTTGCGAATTTTCTTGTAATAATAATTTTACAAATTTTTTTTAAGAATTTATTTGCAAAAAATAATTTACAGATATTTCTTAAAAATTTGTTTTATGAAAAATAATCTACAAGAAATTTTTGCAAATTTTGCTACAATTTTAATGATCATAAAAAAAAATTTCATGGTAAAAATTAGCAGAAAATATTGTAAGAATTTTATTTTATTTCTTGCAAATTTTCTTGCAAAAATAAATTCGCAAGTAATGTTTACTAAATGGTAGAAAAATTTTGCAGGTAACTTTCCCTGCAGATTTTCCTGTCAATTTTAATCCGCAGGAAAAATTAAAAAAAATATTTAAATTTATAAGTTTAATATTTTTAAAAAACTTCAAGTCCCACGTCAATTGAAAAGAAAACAATTAAAAAGTATATAAGTTAGGACAACACTTACCTTACAAGTTGATTTGTATGGTTGAGTGTTAAGCTTATAATTTATAATCTTAGAATTTAAAAAATTATGTATCACATGTTGGAGGCGTGGATGAAAAATTTCTTGCGAAAAAATTTGCAGGAAACTTTCCTGCAAATTTTTTTTGCAAGAAACTTTTCCTGCAAATTTTTTTCACAAGAAATTTTGTAGAAAAATTTCTTACGAATTTTAAAATTTGTAAAAACATATTATCCACGAAGGTATTACCTGCATATAAAATTTCACAGAAAAATTTGTAGAAACAACGTTTCTTGCGAATTTTTACGAAAAATTTGCAGAAAAAATCGTATGTAATAAAAGAAATTCTAGTAGTGTATTATAAGATAACTTTGTCAAAAACAAATTTTTTCTTACTTTTTCTAAATTGGATGATATTGGTATGTGTTTAAATTATCTATGAATAAAAATTATTTCAATATTTATAATTAATATATTTATAATTAAATACTATTGTATACAATTATAAAAATAATTTTTATTTAGATATATTAAGTAAAAAGTAATCTTAATTCATTTATGATGTCTAAAATAATCACTTTCATAATAACATTATTATAAATGAAAAATATAAGTAAGCAAAGATATTATGTAATATACTAATATGTGTGTGTGTTTAGTTAATTGTTGATTAAGATCTCTTTTTTTCGCAATAAATTTGTAAAATGAAATATTTTAATACAATTTAATATTTCTTTTTTAAATATCACTTTAATTTAAAGTTTCATTTTATTTTTCATTATCTTAATTTTCCCTATATTTAAAAAAAATATTTAATCATATTGGAATTTTTGTTTAAGTATTTAGTTTATGTTTAATTAAATAAAGGAGCATAAAAATCGTTTCAAATATTTTAAAAAAATTTCGTATGCTACCTGAACTTCAAATTGAAGAAAAATTAAATTGTAGGCGAGTTGTTATTTTATTTTCTTAAGTTAAATCTATATGTAGATAGATTAGTATTAAAAAAAAAAAAAAAAAAAAAAAAAAAAAAAAAAAAACCATACGAGAAGAACATTGTACACAAAAAGTATATTAAATTGTGAATTATTATATATTTTATTATAATTTTATAGTATTTTTTTATTGTTCAATGTTTTGAATTACTCTTGCTTGCAAATATCTGGTTGCGTTAATTAAATTAAACATTTCACACAAAAACACATAAAGCACTTATGACTTTTTAAGAAGCTGAAATTATATATATATATATATATATATATATATATATTAATAAAATAGGTATAAATTAATAAATGTTTTATATACATATGAAATGCACGTGTTCTAAATCTAAGTATAAATTATTTCTTTTTTCAACCCAACGTAAACATGATTATTTTCTATATAAAATACTTATAGAGTTATAGTTTATATGTAAAAAAAAATAAAAAAAATCTAGCATAAATATATAGATAAGTAATATAATAGGAAAAATATCCTGTTACATGTGAATTAAAGGTTGACCAATGAATTACATGTGAAGAATTAAAATTAAATTTTACTTAATAAGTAACTGTATTTATCTTATAATCTTGACCACGTTTATTTTATAATATGAATTAACTATTTAATGTCTTTGACAAATTATTTAAACATATTACTAATTAGGTGATTAAATGTCAGTTTTTCTTCTTCTTTTTTTTCAATTTAGATCGAGATGTCTCCAAACCGTGAGTCCTGAACCCATTGCATATATACTTAACATTATAATAATAATAATAATAAAAAGAGGAATAAAATGACTGAGAATAATATTGCAGTACTAGTGTTTAACAAAATTCTGTAGACATTTCATGATCCAATGAGTTTCATTCCATTCCTTTACCAAGTAACGTTTTCTCCTCATGGCTTTGTGCCATGTTCTTCTCCTCTTTTTCCTTCGCTCTTTACTTTTATTTTATCATTTTCTAACCTTTCTGTTAACCATTTGGCATACGTTCTATGAGTTCTTTATTATACCAGTCATTTGAATAAACCCCAATATATACCAGTCATTTGAAGCCACCTCACTTAACGTTCCCCTTAAAGGCTGAAGTAGTTTTTTATTTAATTAACTGTCAGTCAAATATATATATATATATAACTGGGTTTTTAATGCATCCAATATTTCCTATATTTTTTACTTGTTGCGTATACAGTTTCTGTTTGCACAAAGGTTTAAGCCATCTCTCCCAAACGTTCAACTTAAATATAAGGAGTCAAAGCTTAAGAAATATTAAAACAATATGACATAGAACTGAGTTTTTAATCCATTCAAATTTTCGTATATTATTTATATTGGTTGCATTTACAATTTCAGTTCAGAGAAAGACTTTTGAGAATGTTTAAATTTGTAACCCCCATAAAATTTTTAACATTATTTTTAATAGTTCTCTTAATAAAATTTATAAAAATAAGGGTTTTTAATGTGTATAAATTAATACATTTTATTGTAAAATTCGTAACGAATATATATATATATATATATATATATATATATGCATTTATGCTTGATGAATGATGATTTTT